TAAACTTCTCAGTGAAAGGCATTTTAAGAGAATGGAAAGACCTGCAGAGAGAATATTTGCCACATATCTGATAAAGAACTTGTATCCACAATATACAAAGAACTCTTAAAATTCAACAATAAGAAAATAAACAACTTAATTAAAAAATAGGCAAAAGGTCTGAACGAACACCTCACCAAAGAAGATATGAAGATGGCAGATAAGCATATGAAAAGGTGCCTTAACATTGTAAGTCATCAGGGAATTGAAAATTAAAACACTGAGATGCCACTACACACCTATTAAAACAGGTAAAATCCCAAACAGTGACAACACCAAACACTGGCAAGAATGAGATGACCAGTAAGTCTTGTAATGCTGGTCGGAGTACACAATGTGCGACCACTTTTGAAGACAGTTTGTCAGTTTCTTACAAAGCTAAACAAAGTCTTTTTTTTCTCCGTTTTATTGAATGTATTGGGGTGACGCTGGTTAACAAAATTATATAGGTTTCAGGTGCACAGTTCCACAACACATCATCTGTACACTGTGTTGCCTCCTCCCATCGCCCCATTCCCTCCTCCCCCTCCCCCAGCAGTCACCACACTGCCATCAGTGTCCATGAGTTCTCGCCTTTTTCTTTTTGCTCAATCCCTACCCCCCAGCCTCCCCCCCAACAGCTGTCAGTTTGTCTCTATTTTGCTTGTTAGTTCATTTTGTTCATTAGAACATACAGTCCAGCAATTGTGTTCTTAGGGATTTATTTACCCAAATGAGTTGCAAAAACATGCACATGAGCGTCTTCAGCAGAAACAGCCCAACTGTCCACCAGCAGATGACGGGATAAACAAATGCAGTGTGTATGTTCTTGAAAGTTGTAACTCCTTAGGTTTTTACAGAAAAACAGATGATGAGTTGAGAAATTATTATGTAGCATTTCCATAGGGGATTATTAAACTAGAACTGTACTCAGTTCCACTTATTAGAATCACAAACTCATCACTAAATGAAACTTGAGAGCAACAAGTTCTCATTTTACAAATTTACAAAGAGTGAAATTGAAATGCAGAGAGGTTAAGTGATTTGCTCATAGACACAACTAGTAGGTAGTAAAACCAGAGTTAGAAGTAAGATCTCTTGATATCCATATCATTTTCTTACAGGAAACTTTACAGAAAAAGTAAATATAATAAAAGACTTGTACACTGTAATAATGATAATTGATAATAACAGTCACAGCCCTTAGAGTTTATCCTATGGGCTTAGAATTAATGTTGACACTTAAGAGACCTAGAAATGTGAACAGGCCAGCTAACAAAACAAATGAGTGGATAGGTAAACTCCTGAGGCAAATAAAATTTCTGAGTTTCTCAAAAATGGGTACTAAGTAGTGAAGTAAAATTACCATTTGTTTACTAATGACTGAAGATTAGTCACCTCTACGTATGCACTTAACTTTCTAGTGTTATGATACATTGCCCAGTAAAATCTGATTACTAATATTTTGGCAATGCTTGCTTTTGGCTACTGTGAATAATGCTATAATGAAATTGGTGTACAGACATCCGAGTACTCCTTTCAGTTCTTCTGGGTATATACCCAGAAGTGGAATGCTGGATCATATGGTAATTCTGTTTAATTTTTTTAAGAACCACCATACAGTTTTTCATGGCAACTGCATGATTTTATATTCCCATCAGTAATGTATGAAGGTTCTAATTTCTTTATATCCCACCAACACTAATTTTTTTTAGTAATATATATGAAGCAGTGTCTCATTGTGGTTTTGATTTGCATTTCCCTAGTGCTTAGTAATGTTGACCATGTCTTCCTGTGTTATTGGCTATTTGTAGATCTTTGGATAAATGTCTTTTCAAGTATTCTTCCCGTTTTAATTAGGTGGTTTGCTTTCTCATTGTTTGACTCCCTCTTTTGAAACTTAAGAATTATCCCTACTTACTGATTTGTAGAAGCTCTTTTACCTATTTTGGGTATTGAGCCTTTTCTTTCTTATTTTGAAAATATTTTCTAATGTCTTTTCTCCATTTACAGCTTCTTAGGTATAGAAGTTTTTATGTAGTAGCTTCTGTCATTTTTCCTTTATACTTTCTGGGTTTTGTATCTTGTTTAATAATGTTTTTATACTCTAATATTATTTAAAATGTTGCCTTTACTCCTACCATTTCATTGAAAAGACTTTTTATAAGCTAATCAGCAAGTAGATATTTGCTATATAATTTACATTTAATATAAATTTAACTGTAGATGATATTTTGTAGGTATAACAAATTAAATGCTATGTTCGTAATGAACTCTGGATCCTTGCTACCTTAACTATCTACAGTTGGAGGAAAATTTTTTTCCACATCTGAGATTTGATTTTTAAAAAATAATTGCTGTCCCTGTGTTTAGGGAGCAGTTACTTAAGTGACCCCTCCCCTTTGCCCTACATAAATGCATATATACACACATATATTATGTGTGCTTTTTTACTTAGGCAGTTTTTTCCTGAAATAAATTATATGAATATATTGTCAAAAATTCCTATCTATGATCTCTTTGTAACCTAGCCTATCTTAAAAGTTTTTCCCTATAAAAAGTTTTAATTGTGCTTTTAAATTCTTTCTGCTAGTATTACTTTACTTAACATCTTATATCTTTTATTGTGTTACCTTTCAAATATAGTCTGATAAAAATATGAGAGTATTTTGTCTGTGTATTTGTTTATAATAGTTGTCTGTTTATAGAAAATGATATAGTAGCTTTATTTTATGATTAGTTGGAGATTAATCTAAAATTATAAAAAATATTCTTAAAGTACATGTTTATTTTGGGCTATGACTAATGTACAATAAGATTTTATTATATAATTTAAGAGAAAATTGTTTAAATCCGACGTGTAGTCCAAAATTGCACAGTTCTTGGATTATAGAGGTTTTTTGTTTTTTAATTTTTATTCATTTTAGAGAGGGAGAGAAGGGGGAGAGCAAGAGAAACATCAGTTTGTTGTTCCACTTATTTATGCATTCATTGGTTGCTTCTTGTATGAGCCCTGATGGAGGATCGAACCCATAACCTTGGCTTATCAGGACGAACTCTCCAACCAACTGAGCTAACCTGGCCAGGGCTGGATTATAGAACTTTGATCTAATAATTTGCACTATTTTGATCTAACACTTCATTAGAGGAATTATGTGGCTTTATTTTCTTAAAATGTAGCTATATTTTCTAATATTTCTAATATTTCAAGTTCTCTGGGGTTTTCTTATTACCTAATTTTTTTTCTTGAACTATATGGATTTGGTTAAAAGTATTCAAAATGCTTTTATTGTCATGTTATTGTTCTTAATGATTTCCATAGTAAAGGGATTTTAAAAGGTGCTTATTTATACTTTTAAAAAAGTATTATAACAACCAGAACATGTATTTTAACTCTCTGTATAAGTAATTAAAAGTAATTTTTATGTTAGTGTATTTGGTATTTCTGAGCAGCATATTTGCAGTGATAAAGAATTATATTAATTTTGGGAAATAAGTGACAGATTTCAAAAAAATAATGTGTTCATAAAGCAAAAAGCCTTTTGTATTATGAATTATCTTTAAGTGATGTTATTAGTAAATAGATATTCTGTAGAGCTCTGTACAGTAGTCCCCCCTCTGATCCACAAGGAGATCCCCTGTTTTTTGCTATTAATACATATCTATGATAAAGTTTACTTTATAAATTAGGCAAAGTAAGAAATGAACAACAATAACTATTAATAAAATAGAACCATTACAATATACTGTGATGAAAGTTATGTGAGTGTGGTTTCTCTCTCTCTCTCAACATATCTTACTGTGCTGGACTCGCCTTTCTTCTTGTGATGATGTGAGGTGACACCCGTGCCTGTGTGACAGACGAAGGGGGCTCGCTATGCTGGGCGAAGGGATGACTCATGTCCTGGGCAGGAAGGCTAGGGTTCATCATGCTACTCAGAATGGTGTATAATTTCAAACTTATGAATTGTTTATTTCTGGAATTTTCCACTTAATAATTTTGGACTGGGGTTGACAGCAGGGAGCTGATGCCATGGAAAGGAAGGTTGTAGATAAGGAGGGGCTGCTGTACATTGTACCTGTTGAAATTTTGTATTAGTTATTGTTGACTGTGTTGCATCAAAATAATGATAGTGATTATATTGCAGAGCTGAATACTATATATTCAGTTGCTTTGGAATATTGAGTTATACTTGTATATACTCTTACTTTTGAAAGAGAAATCTGCATAGGATTGCTTAATATTTTGGAAAACTCTAAAATGTATATTGTCACAAATAGTAATAGCTATGACAGTTCACTAGTACAGAATGTAATGTATACATGACATAAAAAAAATTGTTAGCTTTAATTTCTTTGGGGTGATTGTGGGAAGATGCTAATATAAAGGAGCTAGATTCTGTGCCCCTTTTATTTCTTTGTTTTAGTATTTTAAACACTATATTGGGGTGACATTGGTTAATAGGATCATAGAGATTTCAGTGTGCCCCTTATTTCTGACTTAATATTCTATTTTAACTATTCAGACTTTCTTCCATTCTGTGAGGGATTCAGGACCAAGTTAGTAACATTAATAAAAGCAATCATATAAATCATTTCTATGTAAACTACTTTCATTTTGAAATTAGAGTGAAGAAACTCTACTGTTATCATTACGTTCTATAACTTTTACGTTAGACCACTGGGAATATGAGTGAGCCCTGGCCGGTGTGGCTGAGCAGGTTGGGCACCGTCTACCAAAAGGCTGCTGGTTCGATTACTGGTCAGGGGCGTGCACAGGAGGCAGCCGATCAAGGCTCCCTCCTTCCCTCCTCCTTCTCTCTCTAAAATAAATAAATTTTAAAAAGAATGTGATTGAGATTTTTCTTTTTCATTCTGATGCCTTCATTTAGGAATCAGCTTTCCAGAAGGGTTGGTAAAGCTGCATTTTTCTTCCTGGTCGTGCCAACTCGCTGCACACTCGCAGGGAGCAGGACAGTGCTTGTCCCTGGTGGCCTTTCTGTGACGGGAGCCTGGGACTGACGTGCAGTGCGGCCTGCGGTGAGCTCTCCAGTGAGCCTGAGAAACAGCAGACACAGCTGATGGGGGATAAGCACTTCTGTGACCTCATCTCTCCCTCTTCTTTTTGTTTCGTAGGACAGATACTGTTCAAGTAGCTTGTCTGTGCAACATTTGCCTGCCTCTCTTTTCCCCGTTCATGGATCATTTTTAATTTAAAATCTTGCATTGCAGGTTGCTGAGCACTTCCACGTGGAGGCTGGCGCAGGACCAAACTCGAGACACGCAGCTCATAACAGTTGATGAAAAATTGGTAAGAACTTTCTTATATACATTGCTGGGATTCTGCCTTCAGGGTTCTTGTACAGTAGATTTTAAGGGGTGTCATGGGTTCTTCTAGGAAACTGACGTGAATTTGACTTTCTGGATTGTATGTAAATTTTAAGAAATTTATTTTAAGAAATATTTGTCACAGAAAGATAATGGAAACTTGTGTTAAACATTATACACAAATATTAAGTCATACAAGTATTAAGAAATTAAAATTACAAAAGGCTTCCATTTTTGTGGTGTTTATAAGTAGCAGTTAGAACATTTTTATTTTTGTAATGCATGCATTGTTTTTTATTTTGTCAGCTCTACTCCTGTTTAATTAAATTGTAAGGTATCAGTACCATCTAAAATTAAGTATATTGAGTTTTTCTAGAATCAGTTGTTTTTGTGTGTCATGTCCCATTTCACATTATGCACGAGAGATTACAACTAGCAACGAATAAGTAACATTCTGTTAATCCCAGCGGACAGAATTTTGGTAACCATGACATGAAATTTTTCAGTGTGTGGTGTTATTTTAGATGCAACTTGTTATCGATGCTTATATTGTACAATAGCATACATTTTGTAAATGTTCTAAGACTTGTAGTAAAAATGTGTAGTTGTACTCTCATTTTTATCTGGTTTACCATTGTCAGATATATGGGTCTGTTTCTTAACTACTCCCTCTCTAGTCCTTGTATATTCTTTTATCACTCAATTTTGATAATTGAGCATAATTTAAATAATAGGTCACACTTAAATTTCTTCTTGCACCATTAAGGATCCAAATAGGAAAGTAAATTGATAAGTGAACAGATAAGGAAGTCTCTTAAATATCTCATATTTAAGGCTGGTTGATTTTAACTTTGGAGCCAAAGCATAACCAAAACAGTCTTACTAAAATGCAGGTTTGCCACCCTCCTGTGAAAGACCTTTCTATGTTTCTTGCTGACCTGAGAGTAAACGTTAAAGTCCTGACAGGGACTTCGAGGTCTTCCTCTCCCGGTTTGTCTTGTAGCACTGTCTCTGCCCCCTTAGCTCCAGCTAAATGGTGCCTATACCTTGCTGTTCTGTTTTCTGCTGCAGGGCCTCCGGGCCCTGGGTCACTCTGCCTGGCTGCTTGTCACCAGTCCCGAGTTTGCGTTCAGTGCCATGTCCTTGTTCTTCACCAGAGCGGCGTGTTTCCTCAGGTCCAAGAGCTGAGGCCAGGGTGGGGCGGGAGGAGGACTGGCGCATGCTGCGTATCCAGTAATTAATGAGGACACAGTCTTCATTTTCCCAGCGCTGTCTCTTTTAAGCCTCAAGAGATTACCTTCTTGTTTCAGTATTGTGGGGTTCACTTTCTATAAAGCTTTCAAATGTTGTGGAGTTTACAAGTAATACCTCTAAGTTCTGTTCTCTCCCGTTCAAAGAATACATAAGCCGGGCAGCAGTCCGACCAGGTGCTGTGAAGCACACCGGAGAGGTATGCAGGCTGCCTTGAGTGCTGTGGTTTTTTGTTTTTTTTTTAATGTTTTTGAAAATTTCTTTGTTCAAAATATTACAGATGTCTNTATTTATTTTATTTTATATTTTATTTTTGTTCAAAATATTACAGATGTCCCTTTTTCTCTCCAATGACCCATTCCCCCAATCCCACCTCTCTCCCCAGTCCCTCTCCACACCATTGTCCTTGTCCTTGGGTTGTGCCTATGGGCATATAAGTTCTTTGGTTAATCTCTCGCCCTCCCCCCCCCATCCCCCTGAGATTCGTCAGTCTGATCCGTGCTTCCATGTCATTGAATCTCTTCTGCTCATCAGTTTATTAAGTTCTTTAGATTCCATATATAAGTGAGATCATGTGATGTTTGTCTTTCTCTGCCTGGCTTATTTCACTTAGCATAATATCCTCCAGGTCCATCCATACTGTCCCAAAGGGTAAGAGTTCTTTCTTCTTTATAGCTGCGTAGTATTCCATGGTCCCACAGCTGGGTTTTTTTGTTTAGTTTTGTTTTTTAAATTTATTTATTTTTAATTTAAAAATTTTTAAAAATATATATCTTTATTGATTTCAGAGAGAGGAAAGGAGAGGG